AAAGGACGAGCAGCAAAGCTCATTAGTCGTGATCTTGTCATTCATTCATTCACCTGACGAAGGTGTATTGGGCACTGACTTTCTGTGCCTGGCACATTTTAGATGTTTGGGAGAGAGCGGTAAACAGGCAAGATAAGAGCCTTGCTTTCACAAGCTTACACTGAAAATTCACCCAAAACACAGGGGAACAGATGAGTCAAGGAGACCTTTCCAGATGGTGACAGTGCTACGAAGACAATACAGCAGGGCGGTGGACCAGCAGAGTGGGGGCAGCCGAGCGGGGCCCCTTAGATCCAGTGTCCCGGGAGAGAGCCCCCGGCCCCCGTTAGAGGAAGCCCTGCGTGTGGAGGCAGAGGCGAGCGTGTGGAGATGGGGCAGAGGGAACAGCACGTACAAAGGCTGGGACGTGGGACGGTCACTTGGGCCAGGGTGGCTGTGGAGCAAGGGGACAGCACAGAGTCGAGGTGGGAGAGGTGGGCGGGGCAGGCGGTCAGGGCCCCGCAGGCCCTGGTGAGGAGACGGCTCTGTTCTCACTGGGAGGGCGATGGACTGACCACTTCCTTTTTCAGCTCAGTCCTTGCAGGGGCCCCTTCTTCCTCTGCCTGGGAACCTCTGACGTGCAGAAAGCGCTCAGGACCCTCCGTTAAGCCAGGCCGTGGAAGCCTCTGCAGCGTTCCAGCCCAGCCCTGAGGGTCCTCTTTCCTGCCCTGACCTCCTCCTCCCACCTGCTCCGTCCACACGCTGACAACTCGCCCTCTGACGCCGAGTCCCTAAGCCACCAATTTCCTGTGCGTTCTTAAAGTGATTAAACACAGGATCCAGGGGCAGCTGTTGTCTCTGTTGTGAATCCGTACAGGAAAGAAACAGGTGAAGAAAAGAAAAAGAAAATCCTGTGATGCTGGATCGAATCAGCCCCACCCAGCGAGGCGAAGGCCGGGGGTCTGGCTGGCGTGTGTCGGTTCATCGGGCCCTGGGAACAACGATGCTTTGAAACGATGATGCCAACGTGGCTCTGGTTCCTGGAGGGTCTCAGGGGCTGGCTGGCCCTGGGGAGTCAGGGAGGAGACTGCTGATACTTGGGGCAATAATGATGGCAGCCAGCATTTCTTGAGCACTTGCAGTATGCGAGGCCCAGCTGGAGGCAAGGGTGTCAGCTCAGTTAATCTCCACAACGGCCCTTGGAGAGGAGGGATGTGATTAACCCCTTTCACAGATGAGGAAACAGGCCCAGAATGGTGAAGTGTTTCGCTATTTGTCGTAGAGCTGGTAGGAGATGGAACCTGGATTTCACTGCAGTCTCTTTACTGCACAGATCGTGTCCGAAAAGCCCGGCCCTGGCAGGACACAGCAGATTATGTCGTGTTGGAAGTGTGCAACGCGGCTTCCACGCTCGCCTAGCCCCTTCTCCATGTGGTCAGGCACGGGGAGCTGGAACTCAGGCTCTTAAGGGCCGAGCAAACCCTCACAGCTGTCACTCATCATGCTCGATGGGGTGGGGTTAATGCTTCTAGGGAACGCTGCTTTCTGCCGAGGCTCTAGAGTCTGTGTGCATGTGCGCATGTGTGTGTTTGTGTGCACACACGAGGCGTGTGTGCAGCACTTACAAGCAGGGTCTCTGGGTCCAGACAGCCTGGACTTGAATCCTGGCTCAGCCGCCCCCAGCCCACAGCCTCGGGAAAATTACTTACACCCTCAGTGCCTCAGTTTCCTCCTGTGTCGCAGGGTGACATGCACCTCTACCTCATAGAGTGGATATGAGGATTAGATGAATCAGTCTGTGTGAAGATCCTAGAAGGGGGCCTGGCACAGGGTTGGTGCTGGACAAATGTCACTATTACTGTTGTTTGTTGTCACCAAGTCTCTGCTGCGTGCCCAGCTCTGCAGGGCCCTGGGGTGAACACGCCGTGACCTCCCTCTCCCCATGGGCAGTGCTCATTGTGAGCGGAGGGGAGGAGCATCCTGGCCCCACTGGTAACTAGCCTGGTGACCTCAGGCCAAGTGCTTCACCTCCCTGTGCCTCAGTTTCCTCCTCTGGACAGTGGGGCAATAATTGCACTTCCCCGTGGGGCTGTTGGGGCGATTAAATAAGTGCCAGGAGCACACAGGACCGTTCAGAACTAGTTATCTTCCTAGCGTGTCCTGGCTTGTCTCTCTTCCTTCTCCAGCCATGTTGGCCAACTCTCTGTTCCTCTAACGTACCAATGGTGTTCCTACCTTGTGGCCTTTGTCCTTGCAGTTCCCTCTGCTTGGAATGCCCTCCCCTGGAACTTCATTTGGCGACTTCTCATTCACACATTATCTGCTCAACACCCTTTGCCCCTAACTGGTGACTCTCCATCCCGGCGGTCAGCAAAGCACAGCCGGGGGCAAATCCAGCCCGCTGCCTGTTTTGTAAATAAAGTTTTATTGAAACGGCCACATTGATTCACTTATGTATCTTCTTGCCACGGAGCACAGCTGAGTAGTTGTGACAGAGACTGGGTACCCGCAGAACCTAGAACACTTACCATCTGGCCCTTGCACAAAAGCTCATCGGCCTCTGTTCCGTCCTGCCATCATGTTTGACTTCGTCGGCCGTGGTTCAGGTCCCAGAAGAAGGTGCTGACGAGAAGAGAGAGGGGAGGAGTTTATTCTGGGAGACCCTGCAGGGCAGTGGGGCAGTGGGACAGCGCAGGTGTGTTACCAGGAAAGCCCTCGGGGTCCCAGCTGTCCCTGGCAGAGGTCTTTCATCCCTTGGGGTCCCAGACGTCCCTGCGTCTGGGGTGTCAGCTCCCAGCATTTCCCTGGGTCAGGAGAGCGCCATCAGGTGGACTCTGGGGCTTGTGGTCAGATGGCAGGTGACAAGGGCGGGCTGTGAGTGTGGAGGGGTGTGGGCTGCCCTGACACCCACGGTCAGGGCAATGGCCGCTGTCTGAGGCACTTTGTTCCGTTGTTCACTCATCTGTCCATGTCTGTCTCCACCGCCAGAGTGGGGCCTCATCCCTGCGCACCTTTGAGGGGGAGGACACTGAGGAATGTGGGCTGAGGGCGTCAGGGGTGTTCCTCGACCCCAAGTCTCTTCCATGACCATCTGGGATGTCGAGATCCTGCCTCTCCTCCAGTTCTTTTCTGGTAAAACATGGTGGGCTTGCTCGGGGGAGCAGAAGGGGCCATGAAACTGCACAAGAAACACAGACAGTGGAGCCGACGCGGATTTGCCCTCCACCAGCTGTGTGAGCTTCAGCTCTTCAGCGTGGGCAGGGCCCTTACAAGTCAGAGAGTCGCCGAGCCTCCCGTTTCTCAGACAAGGGGGCTGGGGTCTGGGAGTGTGACCCATCTCCAACCTCGCAGCTGCCCAGGGAACCCCCATGGGGAGCAGCTGAGGCCTGTGGGCCTCCTGGTCTCAGCTCGTCTCGACATAAGCTCAGCGTCCTCTACGCTGTGGGAGGACAGGAGGCTCCCCCATGACCTCACCCAAAACCCAACACCCAGCACCCAACGTCCACTGGTTTCCTCAACGCAGCCAGAGGGATCCCCGAATGCACCAAACCCACACATCGCCCCACTGTCTAGACACTTCCAGCACTTTACCTTGCCCTAAAAATAAAGACCAAAGTTCCTGAATGTGCCGTGTCCATTGGGGGTGGGTGGGACTATGAGTAACAGAGACTCAAAAATAACTGTAAGCTGAACAAAGCAGAAGAAACAGAGAAAAGGCTCGTGTGGCTAGGCCCAGTGAGTTCAGGCAGAATGTCAGGAGGTTGGCCAGAGGCCACCATGGCCACATCCCGTGGGGCTGGTAGCGTGGATTTTACTCTGGGTGTGGGGAAGATGTCAGAGGGCTCTGAGCAGGCAAGGAACAGGATTTAGTCGACTTTCAGAGGGCACACTTGTCTTCATCTGCAGATTACATTTATTGGAACGACCATTTTGTTGATATCTGCTCTCCCCAACTCCACCCCAGATGAACTCCGGGATGGCAGGGACCATGCCTCAGAAGCGCATGTCCAGCTCCTAGCACATTGCTTGGCCTGTGGCGGACACTTCCTAAGTCTTTGTTAAGGAAGGAAAGCAGAAAGGATAGAAGTTGAGTGTAGACACCAGTGCAGCCCTTTCTCTGCCTGTTCCCCCACGTCATACGCGTAAATCCAGGCCGGACTCCATGGTCTACTGGGCTGTGTTTACGTCTGGTGTTTAGCATAAAAAACTCTTTCAGGCACAGCCGTGTCAATCCTGAGGTTGATTTTGTGCTGAGCAAGAATGAGCAATGATTGGAACTACCGAGACAGCAATTCCAGCAGCTCCTCATTGCCTTAAAGGAAAGAAGCTTCTGGAAAGTGGTCACAGCGCTGCCTGTCACCCTGAGAGAGAGAGAGAGGGGATGGTTTGCTGCAGCCTTCTGGTGGGATAAGAGCCGATGGCTTAAAGGGGAAGAGAGCTCTTCCGTGGCCACCTGCCCAAAGAATTTACTGAGTGTGTGCACTTCGTCTAGTCATACAGAAACCCTGACTTCCTTTCCTGCGTTCAGCAAACGTTACACCTTATAAACCACTGCCTCTTGCTGTAACTCCAATTACTCAGTTACCCAGCCTCCCTTGCAGCTAGGGCTAGGGCCCTGAATCTGGGTGCACTCAGCATCTGCACCCACATACACAAATTTGGAATTGGGATCTTGTCTCTTTAAGAAACCAGAACCTCATGAAATCAGTTCTGGGGCTGGCCCGTGAGTGGGAGGAGCTGTACATCAGTGCTCTGAGAAATGGGAGCCATAGGGTTTGTGCCCAGAGGTGCCAGAGGTACCTTCATGTGAATAGCTCTGTGGGATGATTTTTGGACCAAGTTCTTAGCTATGTAGCCTCTAAATCTGATTATCTGGCCCTCCTGGGAAATCTCCTAGCTACCCACTTGTTTTAGTAAATTCCTTTTCTGTTTAAATTTTCGGCATGACTTCTGTTGTTTTTAAGAAATGGACCTGACAAAGACAAGGTGCAGGTGTACGAAGCTGCCCAGCAAGTTCCAGGAAGCAGACGGTAAACGAGATGCGTGGGCTCTGGATTCAACTGTGCACCTGGAAACAGGAACCAGGCGAACAAGGGCAGCCTGTCTACGACTGAGCGCACTTTCTCTTATTTAGTCATTCAGCAAATATCTGTTAAGCACTGACTATACCAGACACTGTGCTAGCTGCTGGGAGTAAAGTTCTGAACAAGACAGACAAGGTTCCTGTCCTCATGGAGCTTCCATTCTGGTTGGGGAGACAGCGAGAGATAACGAACACGTGAGCAAATAAGATGTTTTCAGATTGTATGGTAAGTGCTATGAAGAGAAGAAAATAAGACGATGAGGTAGGAAGTGATGACCATGGAAGGCTGCTTTATCGGCGTGGTCAGGGAAGGGTTCCCCGGGGAGGTACTCTTTTCATTCCTAAAATGAGAAGCAGCCAGCCAGGCTAAGTGCTGGGGAGCACGTTTCTGGAGCAAGGGAGTGGGAAGTAGTGAGAACAATGACCCTGAGCAAGGACTTGGCCTCTTAAAGGAGCGTTAATAGACCAGATCATGCCTCGTGGGCCACAGTAAGGAGTTTGGATTTTATTTGATGGGAAATCATTGGAGAAATTTAAGCAAAGGAGTGTCATGATCTGACCTGTAGTGTGGAAGCGCAGCTTGAGCTGTGGGGTGCAGGGCGCAGGGAGACCCAACAGGTGGGAAGTGTTGTCTACCAGGGAAGCTCCTTAGAGACTCAGAGCCCATGGCATTTGCTGGGGGCTGGTCATGTAGGTGTCCTCTGCTCAGCCAAGATTCCAGACACGCAGAAGGAAAGCAGATGCTCAGCACAAACCACATGGTTTCTTCTGGTGGCTTGGATAAAGGTGGGGAGGAGGAGAGAAGAGAGAAGTGAGTGGATTCAGAATCTACTTAGGAGATGGAGCTCTCAGGAAGCGCTGATGATTTGGGTGCTGGGGGGGCCCTGTAAGAACGGGAGGTGTCAGGCTGACATCATCATCACAGGAAGAACCCATTATCATCACTAAGCACTTCGGAGTTGAGAGAATACTGCCGCATCTCTCTCTCTCTCTCTCTCTCACTTAATCTTAGAAATTTCACAATGGGAAGGATCTTAAGGAACATCCGGTATAGCTGCTTACGTGACAGATGAGGAAACTGAGGCCCGGGGACGGGATGGGACTCATTCAACGTTATCCAGAGAGCTCGTTGTAGACACAAGACTGGAATCCATGTTCTTTGACTTCCCAGTAAGTGATCTTTCGATCTGCCATTTGGATGGGATACTAGAAAGAGCAGAAGTAATAGAACGCTACAGCTGAAACCATCCTGTGCTGGTTCTGACGCTGCTGTTTCTCAGCCTCAAACCCGACCTTCTAAGCTCCGCTCTGGAATGCTGGGGTTGGGACTCTACAAACGACGTTTATCCCTATCAGTTGGCTTCTTACTGGGTTCCACTCACTGGGGACTGTAGCAGCCTGGTCCCAGTCGAGAGATTAAAACCTCATAGTAATTTAAACAGGGGAAATGTTAAAAAACAAATTATTAAACTAGGATAAAAGAGCGACTATAGATTATAAGAAAAGCCTATATGGTTCCCTAGGGCTAAGGGAGAGTACCCCAGGAAGGACACACTTGGAACGGGGCCCCTTCCCAAGGATGGGGATTCAGATCTCTTTGTAGGAGGTAGCTGGCTGACCCCTGGTTAGGCTCATTGCTACACTGGCGTAGCACGTAATGAAGTCACCGATATTCTGAAGTCACCAGTTCCTTCTCCCCACCTCCACTGTTGGCATTTTAGTCCAAGCCGCCGTCATCTTACCCCTGATTATTGCCGTTGTCTCCTAAGTGGTCTTTTGGTTTCCATCTTGACCCGACATTAGGTCAGTGCTCTAGAAGCAGAGCCTATGACGGAGACCTTTTGCACGTGATCTATTGAGGAGATGCTCCTAAGAAAAGGGAGTGAAGGTACAGAACAGGGTAAGGGAAGAAAGCTAAGCAAGGAAGGAGAGTAATTTCAGCCTGATCCCATGTGGGAGAGATCCCATATGGAGAGCCCCAGAGCATGAACTGTATCCCGGAGTTGATCCCAACTTGAGGCAAGGGGGCTGGCGTTTTTCTCTCTCTGTCACTCTCTCTGGCTAGGATGTGCATGAGGGTTATAACCTCCTGGGCAAGGAAGCTCCCCTTTGGCCTAGGGCTGTACTTCGGGGAGGGGACACCCGTGAGCCTTTATCAGCCGGACTCAAAGCGGCTGGCGCACGAAGTCAGGACCGGGGGTCCAGGCAGTCTACTAACAGCTGGGTGATCAGGGTGTTCCTCCTCTTCAGTTTCAGGGGAAAGTCAGAGATGGAATCCACCCTTCTCGTGCTGGGGACTGCAAGGTTTGCTGGGCTGCTGCAGAGTCTGCCCAGGGGTGTGACCCAAAAGGCCGGAAATCACACTGCAGTTAGATTCAGGCCTCCCTCCCAATAGCATCCCGTTGAAGCCCCCCCTCGTCCCTCTCCGGCTGTGGGACCTCGGTGAACTTCTTCCTCTCTCTGGCTTCATTTCGCCGTCTGGAAACGGGACACCGACACCCGCCTCAGGGACTGATTCTGGGCTCGCCCTCCACAGCCCACCACTCTACTTGATCTTCAGGCACTGGCACTAATGTTGAATGCCCCTCTGGATGTTCACATAGATGAAAAAGCTGCTTCAAATGACCTGAGCCAGAACCAAATTCCATTTTACACAGACACAAAAATATTTTTTTCCCACTGTTTTAAAATATCCCGAGTTTTTCAGGAAGGAAACCATGGTGTAAATTGAGGTGGTGCTTTGTTTTGTTCACGACTTCATGAGGGTCGTTCACCAGTTTTAAAACGCGTTACCAATGACGACGCCTCTCGTGGCATCTGAACGGCTCCCAAACAGCACAGTGGTCGCAGGTCTGCATCTGTCGCTTCATTCAATGGGATTTGATGTCCAAGTTCAAGCATCTGACGACTTTATTGTGGCTTCTAGTTCATTTTTGTCAGAGCATTTGCCTGTTGAAATGTTTTGTTTGATTATAAATTCTTTTCCTTTCCTTTTTATATTATAGTTGAAATATTATGTTGATTAAAAAATATGTGTGTAGGTAGGTCATATTATCTATGAATTTCATTTCAGTTGGGTAAAGGGGAAATTATAAAATATTTGTTTTAATAATCAGGCATGGGCTCTGATAGAGTCCAGAACCGCAAGTCAGAAAAGAATGAGCAACGTTTTCTTTCTCCCCTGGGAACCCACAGCCTCATTTGAAGCCAGCTTTGAGCTATTTGTTAGCTCGAGCTGAATTTCACAATGACAGGAGGGTTTTTTGCCCTTTTCTCCATTCTAGTGCTCCTTTGCTAGGATCAACACACCCTCTTAACGAGCCTGCTGGAGATCAGTGTAATTTTTATCCCCACATCCCTGGGCTGTGTAAACTCTCCTGGAATGGTCCCTACCAACCCGAGTATGGCTGTCTGGCTCCCGTCTGCCGGAGGAGCAGACCTGGGCTTCTGCCAGATGTCGGTCCCTGGCTGGTGAGCAAGTAATTTCTTTCTTCCATAGGAGACAGAGCAACAATCAAGAAACAAACAAACACATTTTTTAAAAAGGCAAAAAAGCTTAGTCATGCAAATCAGGGCAGAGGAGAATGGGGAAAGAAAGCAGCTCATTCGTATTCTGCAACTTCAGTGGGGCCCTGGCCCATCAGCTGGTTTCTATGAAACCCTCGGCCCAGAACAGCAGCCCCCCGAGCCTGATGCACATTAATAAAGGTTTGTCCCAACCGGAGTAAACACCACCCGTTCCCAGGACACCGAGAAGCAGAAATTAACCAGAGGTTAACTGGGTCATTAGCTGTCACACAATAGGGGTCAATCTAGATGTAATCAGGTTCCCTTCAGCTGGAGGCTCCGATCCAGCCACCAGTTCTCACCGCAGGGACAGTGACTGAGCAGCGAATTGAGGTCTCTTGGATACCAGGAGCGTCATTATGATGCACGGCGCCTCTGACATCACTGGGTGTTTTTGTGATGCAAAGTGACATGTTGTCTAAACACACATGAGGGGACCAGTGACTCTGTGTGTCGTTGTTATGGGCATGCCCACAAATGGGACACACAATGACATACTGTTTTAATTAGGTAGCCGGGATTTGTTTTAATCAGATATGGCAGGATGTGTGGACACAGAGATGACCACGATGAGGGAAGAAGTTTATTGTACTTACAGATCCACAGAAGTAGGAGGCGTGGCGTGTCATGCAGGGCGAGGTGGGGAAGCATGGGGTCAGGAAGGAGGCAGAGGGAGCCAGGAGAAAACTGTGGCAGGAGCCTTTACTGTGGTTTCTGCAGGAAGGAACGGGTGAGGCGGGGCAAGTGGGCTTAGGATCGGCCAGTTTGAATGGTTTCAGTGGGCTCTGGGCATAGTGGGCGCCCCTAGTTGTCTGGGACCTGGCTCTGGGTGGTTAGGGCACGTGGATAGTGGCCTGGAATACGAGAGCCAAAACAAGCAGTGGTTGGGGTGTGGGCTCTGGACGGGCTGGTTTGCACATGAGAAGCACACACACAGGCGAATTGTTTGCTCTCTCTCCAAACTGGCCAACTCTGGGAGGACGGTCCCTCCAGGGTCAACAGGGTCCCAAGATGTCAACGCATCAGAATGCAGAAAATAAAAGACACGGTTAGCACACATACAGAGACGTGACATGACACTCACGCACACGCACACACATGTGAATTGCTGAGTTAAAAATGCCTTCAGTTCTTGTTAGTAGTTATGTCACTTTCCCCAACAGTGTCCTTCCATGGCAAGAACACGTGAGAAATGGCAGGGATGAAGTCAGACACATCCCAGCGTCATCATCATGCATCACGCATATGTTCTGCCTTTACACCTTATTTGGAAGCATAAAAACCAAACAGCAAAGGAGGCTCGAACAGCCTGATTTCACGTGGGCAGAACCAGAAGGGAATCGCAGGGTGGGCAGCCCGTCGTCAGCATCCCCTCTGCTGGTGCAGGGAAGCCATCACAGCTGCCACCTGGGTCAGGAGACTCGGAAGCAGGTGTTTGCTGTGACTGTCACGCTTCCTGCTCCTCACTCTGAGGGGCCCAAAGCAGACGGTGGAGGCCTGAAGAGGAAAGAGCCAGCCTGGGCCGAGGCCGCCCGGCTCAGCCGGCCCTGGACTTCCCACGGGACATCAGGGCCTTGTCTGCCCTGCCCCGTCTCCCTCCCCACCCACGCAGCATGCCCTTCCCTCCGTGAAGGGGCGTGTTCTCTGCCCCAAAAAGATGAAGACTCAGAGATGTTTCCAGATGCGCAGACCCCGGGGTCGAGTGGGGACCTGTCCACCCCTCCCCATCCTTCTCCGGGACTCACTGACCTTCCTTCTGTGCCACAGACGTGCCAGGTTCATCCCGACCCGGCCTTTGTCCGGCCGTGCGTCCTCCTGGGATGCTATCCCAGCTCTTTCACGGCTGCCCCTTCTCACCTTCCAGGGCTCTGCCAAGTGTCACTCCTCGGCGAGCCCCTCCTGACCACCCTGTCCACAGAAGCCCCCGCCCCACAGTGTGAGCTCCAAGGAGGCAGGGACCTGCCTGTGCCTCAGTTTCCTCCTCTGTGAAATGGGGCTGAGACCAGAATACTGGCCTCTCACGACTGTTGGGAGGGTTAGGGATGGAGGAGACAGACATCAAAGCTCTTTGCACCCAGAGAGCTGTGGACAGGAGGGACTGCGTCACAGTTGCTGCGCCCACCTGGGCAGAAGTCAGGGCAGCGGCCGAGGACACAGGATGGCACGTGGACGTGCTCAGTGTGTGCATGCGTGTGTGTGTGTGTGTGTGTGTGTGCAGGCACTAAATGTTGTTTAATTACCACTTGGGCCCCATAAACAGTAAGAGCCAATGCTTACTATGTGCCAAGCCCTTGTTCACTCACTGAATCCCCACAGCCACCTGTGTGGCAGGTCTTGCTGTTATCGTCAGCATGGCCGTGCTACAGATGAGGGGTCGGGGGCTCAACTACCTGCCTGAGGGCAGCCGGTGGGCGAGTGGAGAGGGTGGGATTGGCAGCCAGGCGGCCTGGCTCCAGTGCCATAATCCTCATCATCATGCCCTCCAGGCATTCTTATATTTCTACTTCCTCTCCCGATGGGTCTGTGGGTAGAGCAGGTTGTACACCTGTAGCACCCCGGCAGAGGGGAGACACACTTCATCACTCTGTTCATGCACAGAGGCCTCGATGTCCCTGGGACTCCAGGAAATCTGTGTGAAAGTAGCTTTCGTAAACCACATTTCTCCTTCAACTTCTCAATGAATAAGGGCACGTTCAAGAAAGATTTCAGCACATATGCAACATGATACGTGGAATGTTCCAAACTGACATTCTGCTTGGGAGTGGAGCCCAGCTGGAGCTCCAAAGGAAAGGCTTGCCCCTCCACAGGGCAACATTTGGTTAATTCTCCCCGACTCTGGCAGGGCCAGGGTTCCTGGAGTAGGTAGTTCAACCCAGAAGCTTCTGTTCCAAAGACTGCTGGGTGTTCCCCAATATCCATTCCCTTCTTCTTTAAGATGAACAGAATCTGATATTTTTAAAGTGGGCATAGACCACTCAGAACAAAGCCTACATTTCCCAGCCTCCCTTGCAGCTGTGGCCGTGTGACTCAGCTCTTTCCAGCAGGGTGTAACGAGGAGTGATAGGAGCAACTTCTAGGCTGAGCCCTTACAGGTGAGGATCTTCTGCTCCTTGCCTCCCTTTCACCCACATCCCGATGGCTGGATGCAAACACGGTGCTGGGCCATGACGGACCATGAGGATGAGAGCAGCCCCACAGGGGTGGTGAATGGACGAGACAGCAGGGGTGTGGACCTTGACACCGGGGAGCTGCCATGCCAGCCCTGGGCTGCCTACTCTCCGACGACGCCATGACAGAGAAAGGAACTGCAGCTGGACCAATATCCTAATCATGGAGATAGATTCCTCACCACAGATGCTCATACCCCAGACTCCAAGAGCGGGGTCACCCCAGGCCTGTGTCCCTGTTAGGGCTGCACCCCCTCCCTGCCATTAGACCTCAGCATAAACCATGTTTTGGGCATTGCTGACATTGTTGACCGTGCCCCACCACCAGCTGCCTCTGTTCTTTTGGCTCTGGAGGAGATTTCAGGCCCTGAAGACACAAATATACTCTCTCTAGAGTTTATGTCTAAGCCATAAATGATATCTCCATGCACGACCGCGTGATAATTGCTGAAGACATTTCTGTTATCATGTCACACAAGAAAAGAAAAAACAATCCAGCAGACTGACCGAGATCACCCTTCCCCCTCTGCACGCTCACACACACACACACACACACACTCACACACACACACACACACACACACACACACTACCCTGCCCTCCACCCCCCAGCCTCTTGCTCCCCACCCTGGCTCTTCCACTCCAGTATCCAGTTGTTCTGAACGGATATGCTTTCTTAAGTCCCATCCAATTCGTTTGGGGGAGTAGGGAGAGAGAACCAGAGGGCAGCGATGGCTTATTCAAATGTACCAGGGAAGAGCAGGTTAAGGGAGGGTATGAGTGGACAGGGCACCCTGAGATTTTGGGTAGGGGAGGAGCGGGTGATGCGGAGGGCGGGCAGGACACTGGTCAGGGTTGTCAGTTTGGTCTCTGTGCCTCCTTCGCCCGTCAGGACTGGAGGCCCTTCTCTCCCTCCTCCCGCGCATCCTCCCCTGCTGGCCCCTCTTAGGGTTAAAGCCACTGCTCCCGGCCCGTCCTCTGAACCTCCCACGTCCCTGCTCCACGGGCCTGGCCAGCCTGCAGCCCATGGCCCTGAGTCCCAGGAGAAGCCTGGGGGCCCCTCCCTGCCCCTCCCCTGGCTGTGCCTGTGGCCTCCAATCGGGGACAGAAACACAGAAGGGACCCTACTTCTAATCTGCAGGAGCCCCGCCCTGCCCTCCAGGGGTCAGGGAGATTCCTGAGGGTCCAGGCGGCTCCCCGCTGGCCTGAGGGCAGTGACTAAGCCTCCATTTCTGTTGTGTGTTCTGTGGAGGACAGAACAGTTTTCCCGTCGCCCCATCAGACGCTGCGCTCTTCACGGTGGTCTCTGGGGGGGACAGTGGGGGTGGGGATCAGACTCCCCAGAGACGGGAATTGCCCACTTCATGCGCTTCCAGACCACTTTCCCCATTTACATAGAGGAGGCACCATTTTTAGTTTTTTCAATGATAAAACTGACATGCAGATAAATGACAATAAAAACCACAGAGCAGAGCACGGTAACGAATGAAAAGGGGAATTCTTCCTCCCCAGGCTGTCGATTCCCCTGTCACTTCTGCAATTTCGGGGCTCGCGGGTGCTTGTCACCAGTGTTCCAGGTGACACACACGACCTATGTCTAGGTTTGCATCTCTGGATGCTACATATTGCCTCTCCTGCCGTGAAAAACGACGTTTAGCCCCTTGATGGCGGCTCACCTCCCTTTCCCCTTCCTGAGACGTACGAAGTGCATTTTTATTTTAAATTCTCCCGCTGGCCAACTCCACAGCCTTAATGAACAGAACCGCCGCTTCCCCTCGCAGGAAGCGTGGACGTCGGGCTGCGCGTCCTCAGCACTCGATGGGGAAACTGCGCCTCCACACCGTTCTCCATCGTTCCTCACCATCCTCCCTCGTGCCTCCTCCGACCACTGTCTGTTCCACGTTACTTTTAGGTCATCACGGTTTATAAAAGGGACAGCACGTGGTCAGCAGCCGGGGGGCGTCTCCTGTGCCTTGACAACAGGGGGATCCTGCAAAGGGGGAACCAGAAAGAACCTTGACGGCACCAGGATCCCCTGGGTGTGGGGCCCGCTTGCCTCCTCTCCCCCTGGACCAAGAGCCTTGTGAGGTCAGGGGCCGTGTCCATCCGGTCACTCCCCATCTCAGGGGCCGGCACAGGCCTGGCATTGAT